CTCCAAAGCTTAAGCAACATGTGGCGGGGAAGAGTGACAAAAGCAAGAGAAGGGAGGGCAGACATAGCATATGATGGACAGGGTGAAGGGACAAGGTAGAACAGAACCTGACATGTTAAGTGACGAGGGAGTGAGGAGGCCATATGGGTGGAGTAGGGAGAAGCTAGAGGTGAAAGGAAGAGAGGACAAGGAACAAAGAGCAGAGATGTGAGGGTTGGATATCCGACACCTAGCTTGGTCTGCAAATCACTAGGGACAAAGCGCTCGCACCATCACACTGAATCAATCATACATGGTGTTAAAAATCCTTCAGTAGTCTGATCAATAGTTTTTTACCACACTGCCCGCTCCTCTTGCAGTTGACCACAGACTCGCCGCTCCTCTTCTAGACGAGTCATTCGAGTCTAGTGGTCCTTACGCATAGCTTGTAAATTGCCTCAGTAACCTAATGACCGATACTCGTCTAGACCTCGCTTATCCACTCAACGTCCTGGCTCGCTTTGTGAGACTGGAAAACACCGTCCTGTTCACTGGGCGGCTTCCATGAGGATAACGAATTACCTGGCGATTACGTCAGCATAAGCCTAGTGCTTGGAGGGAGAGAGCTAGCGCGACTTAACAAAGACAATGACTCGTCGTACGCCGACAACTTGGAAACCTGCAGGTCGACTCAGGAGTATTGTTCCAGCATAGGCTTTGGAGTTGTGTCGTGGAGGTCTACTTGGTCGTTATCTGTGGAAAATTCTAGTGCTGAGGCCGAGATCTACGCCAGTGCCATGGCTTTTCAAAAGGTCCGGAGGTTGACATACTTTTTCACTAACCTAGGTAAGTGACCTAGTTGTGCACTAACCTTGTTCGCCAACACGACCATGATTCTCCTGTGTCGAGAGCCTCAATTGGAGAGCAGAGTGAAGCACATCGACTAGCGTTACTTCTTGCTCTAGCAACGCAGCCATGTACGCATAGTCTTGGTAGCCCCAGCTGCTAGTACTGCAAACATCTTCACCAAAGCCCTTCCGCCTGGTGACCACCACAGGTTATGCTCTGCTTGTTTTGTTGTTCTGAACATCAATGTACCCTACTCCTTATTAGTCACACCACTTCCGCTTTCACGACGAAAAACTACGCCATTATGAAATAGAAACATTATATGCAACATTTATTTATGAGTATTATTGTGAATGGTGGGTCGGTTCAATTAGAATCCTACAATTGGCTGCGAAACTGCTTTGCGCACGGGACCATTTTCAATCCGTCAAATGGCAAGGTTTCTCACCAGGAAGGAGACTGTAGAGGAGGGGCTACACCTAGAAATCAGAGGAAAGAACTCATAGCTTCTAAAATTAGGATTACAAGCTTTTATACCGAAACATATACACCGTGAGTTGGACCAGTCCAAAAGTCAGGTTTATGGGATATGGGTGTCGATTGGATGTGAAATTTTGGAAAAGCCTGATTCGAGCAGTTTGATTCGCATGCGTACACCCTCTTTTTCGATGTTCTGACAATAAAACGCCCCGATTACTGTACGTATGTGCGTTTGGTCATAGCGGGCAGGTGCTTGTACCCAAAACCCAGGAGGGCGGAGGGCAAATGAGTACCAGGCAAACAAGAAACAATGGTTTAGATGAGAAACATCGCTTTTTTGTATGGTTGAGTATGCAAAATGTGCTTATATGCTGATTAAATTCAAACAGTCTGTTTATACAGCCAATATTAGTGTAGCTCAAGAATGAGTGTATCTTTTGTGACGACGGGTTTTGTATGCCGGTCGTTACAAGTCAACGCCGAGCAGAGAAGCTGCTGACGTGCGAAATTCAAGCTGAGCTGTGAGGGAATCACGAAGTGGCAGTGTTTGTACCGTAGTGAAATTCACTACAGTGCTAGAGATCCAGCAGCAGCATGCGAGGAACACGGGTGTACAGTAGGCTTACAGTTCCTGGTTTCCCCAGACCGGAGCGGGGCAGCGCTACAGCACAAATCGGGGACCAGACCAGCTTCCAGACAACCCGACCCGACATCCAATTCTGACAGGCGACATTTTTTTTTTTTTTTTTTTCTGTTGTGAACCCTTGTCCCCGGCTGCCAGTCCGGTTCGACCTGAAAGAAAAGGTTCTTTTTGGTGGGCTGCACGCATCTAGGCCCCACCTGTCCATCCAGCCATGATGAACAAGTACGTGTACTGTAATGACAGAATCGATTTTGTGGTTCTTTATTACAGTATGTATATATATACATATTATTCTCCTGGATTTCTGTGGGTGCATGTCCTTTCTGCCCACAACGCTGGAGCTGTGGTGGGAGGCAACAGGGTAGGGGGGGCGTGGTTTGGCGTGGGGAAAGCTCAACGTACTGTACATGCGGGTGCAGCTGGTCAGTTTTGCAACTGTTTTTGCAAATGTTGTACGGTTTAACTGGTTTTAAACGGTTTATTTGGGTGCGCAACGGTCTAAAGTTGCGAAAAGTCACGATGACGTCATAACGCAGTTGACCGTTTTAAACCGCGTTGTGCTCGTTCAGAAGAAAGGTTTCGTGAATTTAATCCCGTGGAAGTTTCATGCTCGACTTACTGTACGTTTAGCTATGAAGGTTCATTGTTTTTTCTTCTTCCCTTTTGCACCGACAGAAAGGTCCACCACACATACTTGAAATGATGACGTTACTGCTTGCCTGCTTTAAGAAATTTCCAGCGTTATTTCATCAGATATCCAGCGAGGGCATAGGGTGATTTTCTCCGTTTCACCTGCAAATCCGTGTAGAGTTTAGGGAGCCCGTCTAAACTTGCAGTGATCGTACAAGCCCGTGGAGCCTGTGGACGACAACTGAAGGGTGTAAGCCTTGCTCGGACGCTGACACACGGATCTGAAACTTGGCTAAGTGAAAAAATCCCCGCAGTTCTATCTAGACTGACTCAAAAAACAAAGATTCGCGAATGGGAGGTAGTCGAAAGCTCCTTTGGTAGTGTCTGTAGGTGGTAGGAATGAAGAGTTGCCAGTCCATCGAACGAAAGTTATTGAAAATGCCTCATCAAAGTTATTGAAAATACAACCAGGACAACTGGGTGTACGGACGAAACACCCTGCCACCAGGGCCTAAGTTATCAGGGCAATTACCCTGTTTTGACTGAAATTATAGGGTGTTTTTTCTAGGAGCCCTGATTTTCACAAGGTTTTTTCCGGACCAGCCCGTAAAACTGAAGGGTGATTTTTGAGTCAGCTCGGATCTCTCCGGGGAGTTCTCAAGGGGACCCGTATAATTTTAGCAGACATGTTCTCCCCGACCTGCCTTGCATTCCTCTCGGTCTCCCTCTAAACACACGTTGGGCCAATTTTAGTGAATTTCCTAACCACTCTCTCCTTGTTGGCCTCCATGTGTCTGATTGCCCCGTTCTACGTCGACATGGCTTAGAAGGCCAATAAGGAGAGAGTGTCTGATTGCCCTGTTCTCCCGATGTACTCTTCCTCATCGTATTTTTTTCTAAGTCTACAAAAAGTATCTCGCTCACCCCTCCAGAGCCACTCCATCTCCAATCTCCCCAGCCCTCGCGCAACCCACTGTGAGTTTCCCGCGAAATTCTGGTAATGCATGTTTTCAGGCCTTTTCTGGCTCGAACCCGGATTCGTCAAGGTTTTTTTCCCGCTGGCTCGGATTTTACAGGGTCTTTTTCACAGGGGCCCGGATCGTCCGAGCTAGCAAAAATCCTAGCAATAGCCCTGCCTGCCACACCCTCCCCTGAGCTTCTCATCACTACGCTACGCGACATTGGCAGGGTGGCAAGTGAGGTGAACTTGAAAGAGTGGTTCACAACAAAGTGAGGTGTCTGCAGCATCGAAATCAGCCACACACGGTTTATCTGGTCGGGCGCACACCTTGCCGCGTGTGCAAAGGGTACTCTATTGACCACTGTAGATGCTGACCTTGTTTGAAGTCTGTCTGCTGTCTTGCTTTGTCACCAACCAACCGGGTCGAGCTGACTTGCCTTGGTTGGCTTCCCTCAGCAACCAGGCAATTGAAGCTTCCCTAGATGAAACTTGTCTCAACACAAGCAGTCCCTCCCGCCCGCCCTGTCCTAGGGTTTGCTCTTTAGTGAGCCCACAATGATAGGCCTGAGCATTGTGCCCTCACTAATCACTTTTTCATGCTAATTCTGGAAAGTCGAATAGAAGCCCGCCCTCTATGATGCAGCCACACACAGAGCGGCAGTATCGTAGCAACGTCGACGAGCTGCCGTCCCGCCGTGACGGCGACTCTCTGGGTGAGCAAGAAAGGTCATATCAAGCTCCTCACGTGACACTACCTGAACAGAAATGCGGCTTACGGGACAATACCTTCTCGTACGCATTTATTGCAACACCTAAAACAAAATCTAACACATGGATTCAGCGTACTTCGCGCAAACCAGCGTCAGCGGAATTTAAGTTGAATCTACCGTCAACTATTATTAAGAAAAACTTTAGACATTCTAGTGGAATACGCGCGTGGCAAATCTTTCCACACAGTTTGGAAAAGACACCTACAGATGATCGCCCATACGCGTGTGTCAACGCCACGCGTCGAACATTACTAATGTTGCCAAAACTGCTGCCCTTCACAGCATCATTTCCTTCAATGTAAAATCTTGAAACCTATATGCGTGTGTTCTTGAGAATGCTTGGGCGTCCAAAAACATTTTTTTTTTTAATTAATCGCAGTCCTTTTATTGCCTTCCCACCCTCTTTACAGCGCAAGCGCCAGCATTCCCACGAGGCTTACTTTCAACACTATCTGACCCCAGAGCATCCACCACCGCGGGTCATCAGGAGCTCACGATGATGCCTGCCGCCGCCTACCCTGTCGCTGCCTCCTCGCCGCCACATGATGACGCTCGTTCTACCTATCGCTGTTCAGTGCAGCAGGCGCGTGTCACACAAGCAGTGCCGGGCAGGATGGGTGAGAGGCACAGTGCGGCCTACACTGCTGCTGACGCCGGCCCAACCCATGGCGTCATCAACGTGGGCGGCTCATCGGCGCGTGGAATGGGCGTGGCACGGGGAGGAGACGGGAGAGACGCTTTTGTGAAGGCGAGGGACGAGGAACTGTGGCACGTGGCGGCTGGGTCGCTGTCCCTGGTGCCTGCTGTGGGGTCGCTCGCTGTGTACTTCCCTCAGGGGCACATTGAGCAGCAAGTGTTGCTCCAACAGGTACTCTTCCTCCTCCTCCTCCTCCTCCTCCTCCTCCTCCTCCTCCTCCTCCTCCTCCTCCTCCTCCTCCTCCTCCTCCTCCTCCTCCTCCTCCTCCTCCACCTCCTCCTCCTCCTCCTCCTCCTCCTCCTCCTCCTCCTCCTCCTCCTCCTCCTCCTCCTCCTCCTCCTCCTCCTCCTCCTCCCCCCCCTTCCCCCCTCCCCCTCCTCCTCCTGCTACCCAAGACGACTGATGTCAATTAGAGTCACAGCAATGCATCTGTCCCAGTTCTGTGCGTCCTACGTTACACTCTCGCCCGTACCTCTCCCTCACACAGAGGGCGCAAGGCCGGGCAGTGCACGGCGAGGCGCTGGAGGATTTGAGTGCGCACCTTGCAGCCTTGCCTGCCGACACACCCCTCCCACTCAGCCACATCTTCTGCCGCGTCACTGCCGCCACCCTTCAGGTGTGTGCGCCCTGCCCTCTCCGTGCATCATGCGCAAACCATGATGATTTCACCACGAACATGCCAAGGCTTAACACATTCACCCCACAACTGCTGTGCTCTGCCTTCCACGCTCAGCTGCTGCTCCATAATGAGATGCGTGCTCTGCACACGGTTGCAAGCTTTTGCACGTGGATGCATGGTATGCATGCACGCATGCATGTACGTGTGTCTTACTACAAGTGCCCATGTTCGTATGCCTGCGTGCTCCCCACCGCACAGGCCCATCCAGACACGGACACCGTTTGCGCTGCCTTGCAAATTCACCCTGTGGACGAGGTGAGCCTCTCACACCCGCACCCTGTGGACGAGGTGAACACCCGTGCATCCCAGGCATTGTAACGTCAAGGGATGGAGCGCACACATGCTGAATGCAATGTGGCCACACCGTGTGGCGCTTGGCCTTACGCCAATCGTTGATGCTTGATTCTGAACCCTTGTTTCTGTGTTCCCGTGTAGATACATTCTTTTTCCTTCCGTTTTCTCGATTCTCACCTCAAATCATACTTCAACTCCTATTTCTTTCACCCTGCTTTCTCTCACCCAGTCTGAGGCGGCTACCTCCCAAGCAGCAATCAAAGCTGGAGCACAGGAAGCAGCGACAGCTGCAGAGGGAAGAGGGAGGGCAGGCACAAGTGCAGAGGGAGGTGCGAGTGGCGCGGGGCTAATGTGGGGGCGGGAGGAGCAGGCAGTGATGTTCTGCAAGACGCTCACTGCCAGCGATACGTCCACCCATGGCGGCCTCTCCGTGCCTCGCAAGGCCGCCGACACCTGCCTCCCTCAACTGGTGCGCTGCTGCTGCTGCTGCTGCTGCTGCTGCTGCTGCTGCTGCTGCTGCTGCTCCTCCTCCTCCTCCTCCTCCTCCTCCTCCTCCTCCTCCTCCTCCTCCTCCTCCTCCTCCTCCTCCTCCTCCTCTTCATCCTTCTCTCATCACCCTACCTCCCTTTCTCCACCACCCCAAACGCCCTCCTTTCCTGCCTTTCCAGCTCCCTCGCTAATCTGTTGATGAGGCGTCATCCTTCCCTCGTTGCTTGCCCTCCTCTCCCCAACCCCCTCCCCCCAACAACCCCCTTCCCCCCCTCCCCCCCCCCCCTCTTTTCCGTCCAATTGTCTGGCCGTCTCCCTTTTCTTCCAGTTTGTTTCGTCGTAGCCCTCCTTACCCGTTTCTTCATCATTCTTCCCCCGTCTGCTCTCGTTGTTCCTCCTAAACATTCTCTTTCCATTCTCCCGCTGCTCTCTACTCCCCTGCCTCCCTTCTCACCCCCCTTACTATCTTCAATCAACCAATCCTACCACCTCGCCAGGACATGACGCAGGACATCCCATCTCAGAGGCTGAGAGCCGTTGATATCTACGGCAACAGCTGGATCTTCCGCCACGTGTACAGGGGCTCGCCCAAGCGGCACCTGCTCACGACAGGGTGGAGCGCTTTTGTCTCCAGCCGAGGGCTTGTGGCAGGCGACAGGGTTCTGTTCGTGCGGTGAGGCAAGGGGACTTGGCTGCTCCCGAGGTGGCTTGGAGGGAGGTTGGGGATGACTTTGGCTTCTTGGCTTAGCTGAAGAGTTTCAGCGGGTTGATTGTGTTTTCAGCTTCACGTGACGTTTTGTGCTCAGGGTAAAAAGTTAGCATGGAGGATGGTGACTTAGGATGGTGTCTTGATTCTTCCTGGAGTAAGCATCTGGCGACTCGCAGAGTCGGTTTGTTACGCTGTTACACCATGGGGGGCATAAATACAGCAGTGACTGCTCCATATCAGCCTCCTGGACTTCTCAAGCTCCTAATCTCTTTTATTTTGCTCTTCTTGCTCGTCGTACTCCCTCTCCCCCATGCTCTCTCCGCCCGTTCCTGTTTTCCTCATGCCATTTCCCCCGCCACGCACTCCCAACCCCTCACCTTCCAGGGGTCATGACGGCTACCTCAAGGTCAGCATCAGAAGGAAGACTGTGCCAGCTGTCGCCACGCCATTGGCCTATGGAATGTTCGCGAGCGGCACGGGGAGCAGCAGCATGGGGCCCGGGGGCATGGACGTGGAGGGCACTGTCCGCATTGCCACAATGGGCTATGAGCGCCGACACTCCTTCACTGTTGTCTACCACCCCCGGTGCGTTCCCCGCTGCGGTCCCTGTTACTCGTGCTGCAAGCTCGTTTCTGCAAGCTCGTTGCTGCTCCTCCATGGTCCTCCCATATGTAGTGATCTGAAGGATTCAGCCCGACACACCAAAACTAGTACGCGCCCCAACACACCAAACCGATATGTAGCGACCTGAAGGATTCAGCCCGGCACACTTAAACAATTACTGACCCCACACTACAGTTGTCCGCTTCAGAACAAAACTTTCTTGGTTTGAAACCCTCTTGGTGCCCATTCCTAGTACTTGTGCAATGATTGACCCGATATCCGCCTCCCACCAGACACACTGGTTGCCCTGTTGCCCACCTCTCTCGCCCTGTTGTTCTCCTTTCCAACCCTGCCTGTTGCTCTCCTTTCCAACCCTGCCTGTCGCTCTCCTTTCCAACCCTGCCTGTCACTCTCCTTTCCAACCCTGCCTGTCGCTCTCCTTTCCAACCCTGCCTGTCACTCTTCTTTCCAACCCAGGGTTAAAAAAAACGACCGTTTTATTGAGATTTTACCGTAAAAAACGGTACCGTAAAAAAGGGTTGTAAAAAACGGTTTAAAACGGTTCCAGGAGGTGTTTCCTCTATAACTAACAAAACGGCCACTTAGTGGGACCAAATTGAACCCGAAATGCAGCAGCATGAAGGGGATGGAACCCTTCTTGCATGTATGCGCTTGTTTGCATGATTGAAAAATGTTTTTGCCCTTGTTTTCCTCTTTTTTTTCTTGGTGAACAGAGTTCTCTAACAAAAAAACGGCCGTTTTTTTTTTTTTAATCACCGTAAAAAACGACCGTAAAATACGGACTGTATTTTACGAAAACCGTAATTTTGAACCTTGTTCCAACCCTGCCAGCAAACTGCCAAGCTTTGCGCCCTTTTGCGTCGACTCAAAAGTCATATTTGCCTCCCACCACACACACTGGTTGCCTTGATGCGCACCTCTCTCGCCCTGTCGCTCTCCTTTCCAACCCTCCCAGCAGGCTGCCGGGGTGTGCGCCCTTCCTCATCCCGATCTCCGCCTTCTGCCTCTCTCTCCTGCGCAAGCAGCACCTGCGCTCGGGGACAGAGTTCCGGGCGCCCTTTGAGGCTGAAGATTTCACCATGAGGAGGTGAGTGCTTCACCATGAGGAGGTAATTGTTTCACCACTGTTATACATATCACTACTGCTCCCTATGTTGTACATACATTTTTGTTTCTTTATGCTGCAAATGCTGTTTATTTTTTACTATAGTAGAGATCGCGTAAGGTCTCAGCATCAACTGCTTGCTCCTTGGCTTCTCAAAATAAATATCTCATGACCATCTCGTTCCCTTGCCCTTTTCCCCTCCCGTGCCATCATTCACCCACCAACACCACGTGGGCTGAAGGCTGCGGGGCATAGTGGCAGGAGTGGGGAGCACCTCTTCTGTGTGGCCGCAATCGCAGTGGCGCTCGGTCAAGGTGAGTCAATGATGCTTATCCACAACACTGCTGAATTGCTAGCTTAATTTGACCCACTTCCTATTTGCAACCCGTACTCCTGCTGTGACACTCTGCTGCACTTCTGCCCATCTTCTCCATCTCTTCTGCACCCTTGCCTGAACCTTCCAGTAGCTAGCATCAACTAACCCTCCACTCCCCTTTCTTCCATCTCCCTCCCTCTCCTCCTTGTACGCACTCCTCCCCCCCTCCCTCTTTGTACCCCCTTTCCTCTCCCTCTTCCGTCTTTGTTCCCTCTTCCTCCCTCTTCTTCACTGCACCCTCCACGCCCTTTCATCCTGCACGTGCCGGGTTTCCTGGTTAGAATCCAGCCTCTCCCACCGCAAGGCTGGTGCGAAGTGAGTCCCCTCAAGACACATCTCCTTGTCCCCTCCTGTAACCTCTCCGCCCTCTAACCCCTCCCTCCCCTAACCCCTCCCTCCCATCCTCCAGGTCTCCTGGTCTGACTCAGACCCGGCTCTTTGGAAGGCTGGTGTGTTGTGAGTCCCCCCAAGACACATCTCCTTGTACCCCTCCCTCCTTCCCCCCCTCCCCCCCTTCCTCCCCCTAAACTCCTCCCCCCCATGCCCCTCCCTCCCATCCGCCAGGTCTCCTGGTCCGACTCAGACCCTGCTCTCTGCAAGCCTGCATCCATCTCCCCATGGGACATCTCTCCCCCGCAAGAAGTCCCGCCCTCCTTCTCCCTCCCCCACCTCTCCTCCCTGCAAACCTCCGCCTCCACCACCGACCTCGACCCCTTCTCCTCCCACCACCACCGCACTCCACACTTCCGCTCTCCCTCCTCCTTCCCTGCCCCGTCCTCCCCTCCCTTTCCTTCCACTCCTTCCTTCCGCCGCGCCCAGTTTCAGCCTTCAGAAGAGTGTGAGGGCCCCGGTCGCAGCAACCGCACAGAGTCTCAGATGCACTCTCGCTACCGCACAGCCCAACATGCACACAACCAAGGAGGCATGCATCCTCAATCGCGCCATATACATAATAGCCCTGCCATCAATGCACCGTTTGACAAAGACATGCATACCCCAAGTTCTCGAAACATTCCCTCCTCGTCCTCCTGGCCGTCCTCGTTCCCCCCCTCTTTCCCCTCGCATCCTCCTCTCTCCTCCCCCCCCACCATGCAACGACGCTCCCCAGGCAAAACCCCTCTTCCGGAACGCACCCTATCAGCTGGTGGTGCTGACACCGCGGGTAGGATTGCTGCTTCAGCAGGCAGACTGCCCAACGAGTGCATGCCACGTGGCGCCTCACAGGCTGACTGGCTGGCCATTGGGCAGCAGGGAGGAGGAAAGCTACCGGATTGGCTAGAGGGGGGAAAGGAGGGGGGTGGGGGGGAAGTAGAAAGGGGAGAGTGGGGAAAGGAGAGCAGAGAGGGGGAAGTGGATAGAGAAAAGGGAGGGGAGGAGAGAGAGATGAAAGGGAGGAGGGAGAAGAGAGCATGGGACGTGGTGTATGGTGAGGGCGGGCGTCGGGGAGAGGAGCATGTGATGGGGTTCTGTAAGCAACCGAGAACGGGTGGAGATTGGGAGGGAGATGAAGTGAGGGTCGAAACGAGAGAGAAGGGCACTATTCTCCATTCAAGCCAAAGCTCTGTCTCGCTCTTTCTCTCCCTCGGTATAGGGCATGAGGAGAGCGAAGCCAAGAATGCACAAGCACAAAATAATTTTCCTCCTGTTCCCGTTTTCGCTATCGACGCAGCTGCTGCTACTACTGCCATTCCTCCTGCTCGTTTTCCTGCTGAAGCCGCTGCTGTTGCAACCACACCAGATTTGCCAGCCTCGGCTGATGGTTGTGGCAGTGCGAGGGAGGGGCCTGCAGGCACTGATGCCACCAACAGAGATGCCTCTGGAAGGGGAGATCTTCATGGCAGGGAACCGAGCAATGAGATTTCGCCAGGTGGCGGAAAGCCATGCATTGTGAGCTCTCCAGATGGCAGCCAACGATCAGAATCGTCTCCTGGGCTGCAGCAACAGGACCAGCAACAGCAGCGGCAGCAGCAGCAGCAGCTGCAGCAGCAGCAGCAGCAGCAGCAGCAGCACCTGCAGCAGCAGCAGCAGCAACAGCAGCAGCAGCAGCAACAGCATCAGCATCTACAGCAGCATCAGCAGCAGCAACAAGGAGAGGACGAGCAGCTCAGCTTAAGGCAGATGAGGGTTAAGGTATGTGCTTTCGAGTGAACTAGGGCATGTTGTTCAACCAGCATTCAACATGGCCACCTTCCTCCGTTGCCCCTCCAACATTCGCTTACACGCATCCAAGCAAGAGTGCTCATGCCATCTTTAACGCCTCTCTAAGCTCCCTCCTGCTCCCACAGGTGTTCAGGGAAGGGTGCCTCATTGCGCGCACCGTGTACCTCGGGCTCTTCTCCGACTTCCCCGCCCTCCATGCTCACATCGCTGCCATGTTTGGTCCGGCACTCAAGGCAGGCAGGGAAGGGGGGGCACGTGCACATGGTACTGAGGGTAAGGGCAGCGGTGGAGATGAGGGTGGAGCTGGTGCAGTGGGCACTGCTGCTGGAACGGGTGGTGCTGGTGGGACGGGCGGTGCTGGTGCTGCTGGTGACACGGAAAATGGTGGAGACGCGCTGGCGGGGTGGCGCTTGGTGTACGAAGACAGCGATGGGGACACGCTGCTTGTGGGCGATGGCACATGGACGTGAGTGTGCTTCCACTCTTTTTTCAGACCCCTCCTCTGTTTCCTTCTCGTCCACGTTGACTTCCTTTTAAACCCCTCCTCCTCCTCCTCCTCCTCCTCCTCCTCCTCCTCCTCCTCCTCCTCCTCCTCCTCCTCCTCCTCCTCCTCCTCCTCCTCCTCCTCCTCCTCCTCCTCCTCCTCCTCCAATCTGTTTCTGAAACATGTGTGGATGCGTGCTTTTGGCGAACATCAAAGCACATGGTGGTTCCTCTCACCACGAAGCATTCCATGCCGGTCAAAGTGACTCCGCATCTGACTTTGCGTGCGTCTACTGCCACACGTGCCGCATGGCCTGCACCCACATGCCTCTGTCACATCCCGTTCCCTGACCCCTTCGTACCCCCTTTTCCAAACTCTCCTCCCTACTTCCTCACCTCTAATGCCCTCATCAGTGACTTCTGTAAGCATGCGCGGGTCCTTCGCCTTGTTCAAATCGAATAAGCACCATATGACAGTTCGTTCATAGTAGTAGTACTTTGCGCACCATAATGAACTTACAATTCTAGAGATGGTTTTCCTGATTTGATGGTCTATTCTATCTTCCAATATTATGTTATTACACTAAGACGGTGTCGAAGTGCACAAATATCCCGTACTGTTGTATGTGAACTTTATAGGCTAGCTAGGGATACACCATGGGGGCAAGAAATTGCATATAACCCTTTGTATGTTTCCCTGTTGTACCATGTATTGGTTCCATCGTCAGGTTAGAACCTGCGCTTTTGCCCAGCCTCCCCTTGATTAAACCATTGTTCCCCTCTAGTGCCCTATGCTAACGCCCACCCTCTCTCGCCCCTCTAGCTTCCTTTGTGACGCTCTGTCGACCCATAGCTGTCTCTAGCTGTATTAGCCACGCAGGCCGCACCTGCACTAGTCGCACCAGCCGTGCATCACAAAAAACCTGGGTTTTTGAAGGGGGTTCGAAGGGGTGTACATTTCAGGTGTTTTGGTTGGCGAAGTTCCGAAACGAAATCGCGACCAATCACGGACCGAAATCGGACCGCGTTTGTTTGTTGGAGTTGGATAGCAAGTTCGGAATGTCGTACATTGTCGGTTTTTCGTGGCTTGCCAAAATGATTATCAATTTGGATTGGATTGTTTTGGCCTTGACTTCAAGTAAGTTTGACAGTGCAGAATTAAGCTGCCTATTTTATTACTGGATAAATGCATCACATATGATACTTATTTAGGAGATAGGTACTGTCCAGATGGAACGCCTTCACCACATGGACGTGGCGAAGCAGCGCTTCAAGCGGAATCACGGAGTACGCATACACTCCAGTCGTCCACTTGAGGCGAGTGCATCCAGTTGCAGCATCCTCCCTACACGCATTCCAATATCTAACATAAGCCAGCTCCTCCCTCTCTCCACGGATTTTGGTGTGGAACAGCAGCAGCAACCTTGCGTACCACTCCTCTCTCCGACCGTACCTTACACCCTCTACTGCAACATCCGAGTACCACGGCCGCTCAAAATAGTCAGGTGTCGCCCGAACGAAGTGAGAAACCCTTGAGAAGCTGGCATCATCTGCCGCTGGGATGGCCAACGATGCATGGGCCTGCACAACAATTGCAGTGTGTGATCAGTTTAGGGTTTGGGGCACGAAAAGAATGATTGTATGATCCACGAAGTACTTACCCTGATCTTGGGGGCGCATCCTGCATAACGTACTAGCGCATCCTTGAGGGCAGCTTGTGCAACAGGGTGTTGCATGGCCCACTTCCTTGCAAACCAGTTGGTGGAGGTGGGTTCTTCTGGTAACTCCACAGGGAGTAAGTAGGACTCTTTGATAAGAGTCCTTGTGCCTGTCTCAATGGCCTGCCAACAAACAGTGGCGACTTTATTACATTATGCATGCATATCCTTGCAATTCAATCACTAGACAGGTTTACCTGCCGCATGGCAGTGTCCCGGCCAAGGGGATCATCCACCGGCACAACGTCCGGGATCGTCCAACTTCATAATCTGCCCATCTACATTGCGCTTGTTGGACCGCCGGTAGATCCTCTTTACCAACGGGCCATGCAAGTGCTCGAACATGTTGGTGCTGAATTCCGTGACGTGTCCAGCGCGGCGAATGGAGTCGATGTAGTGCGACATGAGATGGGTTTTCACAAGGCACCAAGAGGATGGCTGCTTTGGGAAAGCAGCCTGCAACTGCTCAACCAGCCTGATGGGAGTGGGAGTTGACAGCATATGCAAGGACATGAGAGTCTAGTACTATAGCCTACTTTATTTGATATACTATCATGTTTTATCAGCAACAACCTGAGAAGATAGGTTACTACAACAGCTTAAGTGTCTTGGCCAGGCATTCATGCAATGCCTAAGGGTAGTACATGCATGTTAATAGTACCGGGAGGTCTTCTTCTTGAGATCCCGCAGGGACCGCTCGGTGTGCCCCGTTGGCTGGCAACACAAGAGGTACCAGCCAAGGTAGGCACGAACAGCATCCATCTGGGGCTGGCGAAGCAGGCCAGCAAAGACAAACACCATGACCTGCAAATTGCGGGGTTTATGACGGCAGGGGGGCATGAGAAGTTGAGCAAACGGGTTTGGTGGCGGAATTGTTGCAAAGCAGGAGAGAGGGTACTGAGATGCAGCAGGGGGTGTGTTGTAGTCTAGAACCGGCAAGCTGCTTCTGCATGGTGCATGCTATCGCACAAGATGATCACATGCACCATGGCTTGCACACCTGCATGACGGCCCTGTGCTCATAGGCCGCGACACATGCTCCACTCTCGAAGTACGCGCTCTCTGGCAGGCGCAGGTGGTTCAGGCGCGTGCGGTCGCGAATGAGGGACAGGCGCCTGCGCATACACAACAGTTCAAGGCCGGCACAAATGCAGAGTGATGTAAGTAGGAGGAGAGTGCGTATTGGAGTGTTGTTGACAAGAAACTAATCCCCCAAGGCACTGACCTGTCCATCTGCTTCACGCGCCGCTTCTTCATCTTGCGCACGACAGCCACAATGTGGCTCATCATGCCCAGGTCCGCCTGGTGCATGATGTCAGGCATGATAACGAGGTAGGGATTGCCCCACACGGTCCCTGGGACATCCCACTTCCACAGCACACACTGGCGGAGGGGTTGTGGTGTGGAATGGTAGAGAAGGGTATATGAGAGACTCGGCCAACATGTGGGGCAGTGCAATGGCAGTGCACATCTCCCCCTGGGTTTAGCAACACGGAGTGCATAGACTACAAATTAGCGAAGGGGACAGGTTCCTCACCTCAACCGGGTAGGTCGAGTAGGTCTTGCATGGGTCGGCCTGGCTTGATGTCAACCCAGCCGCCTCATTCACGATCCATTGCTGCTGTTCAGGCGTGCGCGGCGTGTTCCGTGCCTTGACAGCAACCAAATGCTCCTGGTGTAGCACGGGAGGTTGGAAGGGATGAACATGTAAGGGAGGTAAGATTAGGATGTCCGTCACGTGCCATTCAGATGACGATGGTGCTGAAGGCGCGCAGCTGGCATGTTTGCTCACCTTTGCAGCATAGCAGATGCTGCACGGCATCCGCGATCCATGCGAGAGTGTGCAACTGATCTTGCCGCTCTCGGGGTAGTCGCACACCCAGGCGTACAGCAGTGGCCGCACTGTTTACCAATCGCCGAAAGGATCCTTGAGACGGAGGCCGCTGCGAGGAACGGGTAGAGTGGGAACAGCAACAGCCAGGACGACTCTGTGCATCAGCGAGGAGGGGCAAAGGGTAATGCAACATACAAAAACGCTGCGCACGCTATGCTGTTGCTACGGTGACGACATAGCATGACGGAAATCGAGTACGGACCTGTCCATGCCATCAAGAAGCGGCTGCAGCACGGTGATGACGCATCGCTGGAAGAGCATCACCTTCTCGACGGCAGTCATTGCAGAAGGGGGGATAGGAAGGAGAGCAAGTAGCGTGTGCCCGGCTTTCCCCCATCGCTTGGCCTGGGAGATGTTGGCAAGCGTCATCATGAGCGGCCACGCCTTCTTCCGGCCGTTGTTGCTCATGTGCGTCACATCCGAATACAGGATGATACCCCCCACGACTTCGGACCATCCGAAGTGTTCCTGCATTGCACGACAAAGACGGAAACAACACACGGTCAAACACCATCAAGGTAAAGTGTCGCCAGGCGGATTGAGCCTGATACAAAAAACTCCCCACGAAGATGACACACTGAAGATGCTGCCTACACATCAGCGCATCAACGGACGCATGCGCACGCGTGTGGTTTTGGGTGGCAGCGGGGTATTTATATACCTGAGCATCGTTCCACCACGTTCCTGTTTCTGGCGTGGTATAGCGACGCTCGCCTGTGTCAGGGTCCTCATCAACACGAGCCTTGAGCTTGAAGCCGGGTGCGTTGTTGGTGTGCCCAAACAGTTCAGCAAACGCCTGGAGTGCGGGATCAAGAGCGGGAGAGAACCAAACCCTGGTTTAGTGGCGGGAGCGTTTCACGGGCCAGATCGCACACATGCCTAACAAAGGCAACATTCCCAACAAGCTCCACAAGGATGCGGAATCTGCAGTTCGCATCCACGGTTCCAGAGTCAACTTACCTGCGCGGAGTTCTGGAAGAGGAGGCGCTGTGGCGGATGACCCTCAATCTCGAAGGTCGCCACTGACCATCCGCGATTGAGCCCTACCAAGCGCTCCATCTCGAACCGCTCCAGATCCTTGCAGTTCCGGATCTCTGAGATCACAAGAGGCGCAAGGCCGGGCTCCACCACGAGCTGAAGCAGGCCATTGATGTCGATCTCCGCCATGCCCATTCCGCCATTTACGCGCCTCACGAAATGCAGCAGTTTCAACGCAATCGGACTGAGGGGCGTCGCATTGCTCTCCCCGGAAATGATTGTCGGCGGTGCCGCGTGACTCACTCCAGGGCGGCACCCCTGATGCTCACTCGTGTTATCTGCAGGTGTTTCTGGTGACGGTTGATGCTCAGATTCAGGAGCCCCCACGTTCACAGCCGAGGGTGTTGCGTCCTCGTCAGCTACCGGGACGCGAGGAGGACCATTCACACCGTCGGTGTTGGACGCGTTAGACGCGGTAGGGGAAGCGGGAGCAGCGGGAGCGTCCGACAGAATGTCGTGGACGAATAGCAGTGCGTGTAGACCGGCTGACGGTGCAGATCGCGAGGGCCTTGCCACGGCGGAAAGGCCTTGACAAGGGGTCCGCCGTGACTTATGACCGCCATAAACTTGGGCGTTGGGGAACCATCTGTTGCAGAACTCGCAGACGACGCCAGGCAAGGAGCCCATGCTTTACGGATCTGTCTAAGTGTTGAGAAATGGCCTGTGAAGCAACTAGCGTCGTGGGAAGCTTGAGAAGGCATTAAGTACACCGTTCAAGAAGGCTGTTAATGCAACCAGGTCATCGCCAAACCGCGCACTGTCGAAGGCGGCTTGTATCACTGCACGACTGGCACTTGAGCGGGCCGCTTAACGATGTTTGGGACTGGCAAACGATGTGCGAGCCGCGCGGTCGTGACAAGGCACGGTACAGACCGCTCACAGCACGGATCGTCTTCCCTACAAGGCGTGTCGCCCCCGTTTAGACAGACCACGTCGTGAGCAGCGGGAAATGCGCCTGATCTTAAGACGGTGGGTCGTGTGTGTGCGTTGCGAGCATGGTGAGAACGACGTGCCTGTGGATTCACGCACCCTTGGTGCATGAGAGTCGAGTGGGATGAGGAAGAGCGGGAAGAGATCCGTTTGGATCTGTGATTCAGTCGCGAAGCGTTATAGGGGGGAAATCGCGCACACGTAAGTGAGCGCATAGTGTTGCGCTTGACCATAGCCCAAATACAATGATAGTACATTGTAGAATTGTTTTTTCTCTACACAGTAAAGTCTTTGTTGATAACTAGGACATAGTCATATGAAAAGACCTGCTCGATATCCACCCCTAGTTGACAACGTGACAGTCTGAACACCATATCCTCTCATCTCTTGTGTGATCTGGCTACATACGGGAAGTACACAAGAACTCCGTGCCCTCACGATAACGCATCGCCGCTTGTGCGTTGGGCCTCTCATTCATACCCCTTAGAGGCACCTACTTGAATATCTGTCTAAGGCTAGAGGACAATCCAACACCGTACCACAACGGACTCACCTTGTTGCGCAACACCCAAGGCCTGACCGCTACAGCGTCGCCTGTTTAGACGCTGCGGTCGACAACGCACCCTCGCTAATGCGTTGGACCTGTGCATCATTCCACACCCTCTATACACCATGTCGAGGGCCCACGCAAGGATAGAGCCCAAGCCAGCACCATTCCATTACGGATTCACCATCTCGCGCAAGCCCTGTATGTCTGCGAACGCTGCAACGTCGCCGCGTTGGAACAGCGCTGTCGATAACGCACCCTCGCTCGTGCGTTGGACCTGTGCTTCATTCCACACCCTCTATACACCATGTCGAGGGCCCACGCAAGGATAGAGCCCAAGCCAACACCATTCCATAACGGATTCACCATCTCGCGCAAGCCCTGGATGTCTGCGAACGCTGCAACGTCGCCGCGTTGGAACAGCGCTGTCGATAACGCACCCTCGCTCGTGCGTTGGACCTGTGCTTCATTCCACACCCTCTATACACCATGTCGAGGGCCCACGCAAGGATAGAGCCCAAGCCAACACCATTCCATAACGGATTCACCATCTCGCGCAAGCCCTGGATGTCTGCGAACGCTGCAACGTCGCCGCGTTGGAACAGCGCTGTCGATAACGCACCCTCGCTCGTGCGTTGGACCTGTGCTTCATTCCACACCCTCTATACACCATGTCGAGGGCCCACGCAAGGATAGAGCCCAAGCCAACACCATTCCATAACGGATTCACCATCTCGCGCAAGCCCTGGATGTCTGCGAACGCTGCAACGTCGCCGCGTTGGGACAGCGATGTCGATAACGCACCCTCGCTCGTGCGTTGGACCTGTGCTTCATTCCACAGCCTCAATACACCATGTCGATGGCCCACGCAAGGATAGAGCCCAAGCCAACACCATTCCATAACGGATTCACCATCTCGCGCAAGCCCTGGATGTCTGGGAACGGTGCAACGTCGCCGCGTTGGAACAGCGCTGTCGATAACGCACCCTCGCTCGTGCGTTGGACCTGTGCTTCATTCCACACCCTCTATACACCATGTCGAGGGCCCACGCAAGGATAGAGCCCAAGCCAGCACCATTCCATTACGGATTCACCATCTCGCGCAAGCCCTGGATGTCTGCGAACGCTGCAACGTCGCCGCGTTGGAACAGCGCTGTCGATAACGCACCCTCTCTCGTGCGTTGGACCTGTGCTTCATTCCACACCCTCTATACACCATGTCGAGGGCCCACTCATGAATTTACACGCCAGCACCACACCACATCTCCATTCCAGTTGGCACTAGTACACGTCGTGCCTGAACAAGTTCCAACGACCAGTATCCGTCGCCAACCATTCCATAGTCCACGAGTTGGTAGGTCAAAGAGCGTGTCCGATGCCAGATGCACTCCCTAGACTTAACACAACATGACACCACAAGCGGCCAAGTTCAATACAAATGGTTTTAGTTGTTCTTTGCAAGTGTATTCTGCTCCTATGTTTAAATTTGATCAATGCACATTGGCACTGTATTTTGCAGGATGCGATGATTGGTGGTGTCGAAACGGTACTAGATTCTGCGGAGATTGATGCGAGCGGCGCTGATTGGCCGACGCATCTCAAACGACCCCCCTCCCCATGACCGGACCAGCCAAGCTGGACATTCGCCGCGGAAGCAGCGGCTGTGATCCCGCGTTTAGTGGGTTATTGATCGGGTGGCTAATCGTAGACCGTCCGATTGTGGCTGTCTGCTTACAGTCCCCTCTCTAGACTCGCAAACCACCCCAACGACCGTCGTGCCCCACTCACCATCTTCCGTCACCCTCATACCCACTACCTTGACGCCGCTCGATGCTGAACACAGGTGTTTCCAGATCGCCAGTGAGTCAGAGTAGCGACGAAGCAAAGGGCTGACGCCATGTGCTTAGTAGCTACTTCTTCAGTTGTAACCGTACCTGAGATTTAGGGTGAGACAGTATTGGCTTGACCGGGACGGAGTAAATTAGTAACAATCCTTTCGGCTATTTTCTAAAGCTGGCTAAACAATCCCACAAGTTATAACTTGCATTCGTACAACCCTCATGACACGTGCAACTCGGCAAACAGAAAAGGAGAAGGAGCAGGCAAAACGACGCACGACACGGCGGATGTCGATACAGACCGACCATGAGGGTGGGGCCAGATCTAGGGCTACTAAAGCGGCCGCCGCGCAAACCAACCAAAGGAAACGTGCGGCGGGGAAGAAGGCTGAGGTTGGAACGAAGAAGTCCGGGAAGAAGGCGGAGGACAAGGGGAAGCAACCAACGGCACGCAAGCGTGTTTCGGCCGTGAAGAGCGATGCGGGTGTTGCCACTGCTGCCCTCGAGCCCGGTCCTTCCGACGACGGCACCATCGGCGGGAACGAAGACCCTGGGCGTGGCGGCGTGAGTGTTGCCGTCCGGCCGGGGGACAGAGAGGGCTTGGCGACTGGAGGAAAGCACGGCGAGGCTCCCGGCGACGACCAGGCCGCAACTGTGGTGTCCGTGGCAGAGGCATCACAGCAGCATATGACGCTGCTCCCCCCGCCCGTGGTCGAAGTATCTGCTACAGTGATAGATAAGGAGAAGAATGCCGCGCACGTTTGCACGGAGGAGCCGAAACACGACATTGCCGACGTCGGTGGATCTCCTCCCTCTGGGGGACGCGGGAGGCGTAGGCAGAGGAAGAGCGATGGGGAGGAGGAGTATGACACCCCCGTGGCCGAGGACATCCCCATACGCGCAAAGAGGAGGCAGACGACAGCCAGCGGTGACGACGCCGGTGGTGCTGAAGTTGGGACAACGCGAGGCACCACGGAGCCAAGTGGCTTGGCGACAGATCATGCTTTGCGGCAAAAGGGCCGACCCGGTCCGCGGAAACCATCTAGCGGACGGGGGGGGCAAGCAAGCCTCGAGGGGGAAGAGGCCGAAGCGCGGCAAAGAAGGCCCTGGTGAAGCGGATGTTGAGGACGAGGGGGATGGGGAGGAGGAGGCCGAGGAGGATGCGGAGGAGGAGGACGAGGATGCAGGGGAGGAAGAAAAGGACGAGGATGAGCAGGAGGACGACGATGATGAGGAGGAGGAGGAGGATGAGGATGGCGACGAGGGGAAGGAGAAGGAGGACGATGAGGATGAGGATGAGGACGAGGAGGTGGACGATGAGGGGGATGACGAGCCTGAGGAGGAAAAGAGTGAGGAGGAGGAGGAGGAGCAGGAGGAGGAGGAGGAGGAGGAGGAGGACGAGGACGAGGACGAGGAGGAGGAGGAGGAGGAGGAGGAGGAGGAGGAGGAGGAGGAGGAGGAGGAGGAGGAGGAGGAGGAGGAGGAGGAAGAGGAGGAGGATGATGGTGAGGAGGAGGATGAGGAGGAGGAGGACGACGTGGAGGAAGAGGAGGTGGAGGAAGGGGCGGATGAGGAAGAGGAGGAGGAGGAGGAGCCGGCAGGGAAAGGACGGGGCGCGCGAGGCAGACGGGGGAGTGGCACAGGGAAGGTGGGGGGCCGGTCTGGTCAATCCCGGAAACGCGGGGTGGTTGACGCAATGCGTGGCGGCCCAGCGGGCAAATCGAAGGCGCGTAAAGTGAAGGTCGAAACTGACCGGGGTGGAAGGAAGCAAGGGAGACAGGGTGGGGCAGGCGATGGAGAAGGAAAGGGAAGGCGCGCGAAAGGGGTACCTGTAGGTTCGGCAAAGAAGGAACCTGCCCGTAAACGAGGCAGCACCCGCCGAAGCACACCGCGGAAAGGGGGCAACGATAAGGAGCAGGCAGCAAAACCGAAGGGACAGCAACGAGGTACGCAAAGTGTCACAAACGCATGGCATAGCTGCCGTGGTTTGTGATGAACAGACCCTAACAACACCGTGTTCCACCCCGTGTTTCCCCGCCGCAGTGAAGGAGAAGGTTGACGAATCGGCTAAACCGGGTAAGGCGTGACTATACACTACAGTTCCCAGCTACACCCCTGTCTGAATCATGCGGTTACTCGTTTGCGTGCATGTGTCCAAATGTACATAGCAGACACCATCTCCGTGCTCATCCTCCGTGTGACTCTCAGCCCCCCGTGTTACAGGCATTGGGCCACCGGTAAGCGTGCAACGGATGCAGCTAACGAAAGGGGCCGGAAGAGCGAGTGTGGCACCGCTATCCACAGGAGCACCAAGGTTCTTCACGCCATACTCCGGCCCGAGCAAAGTCGCTGCGACTGCACCCGGCGCGGCTACAGGAGAGGAATCCGAATCCCCTCCACCAGCCCCCGTCACGCACTCCCCACTCGCCTCTCCCTCTTACCCATTTCGGCCACTACACGCTTCTCCTGTCCGGGGCAGGGCGGTCTCCCCCCTCGCTGGTCCATCGCGCGGGCATCAACCAAGCACTTCTGCCAATCCCTTCCCTGAGCCTCCCTTTCCCCGCCAGCGTGATAGTGTGAGGGCACACGGGGCTGCTGCTGAAGACGTTGATCCCCTTGGCCAGAGAGGGGTTTCTACACACCCTTTTCCGGATGTCATGGATGCGCTGGGCGAAGGTGCAGAGCATGGGCAGTTTGTTACACGAGACGAGTTCCAGCAGCTACGGTCTGAGATGTACGCCATGTTTGCTCAGCTCGGCCTGCGTCGTGGAGCAACTGCCAGCTATGCCGGGGGGACTGCAGTGGTGCCTATGGCTGGTACCCCGCCGCCGATGAGTGCCGTGGACAGGGCACGTGTGCTTGTGCTTCGGGAGACCAACCCATTCCCGGTATGTGGCGGGTTGGGGTTGACGTGGCAACCAGGGAAGGGTTGGGGATGACGTGGCGGTTGGAAAGGGTGCGCGGGAGCGGTGCAGGGCGACACGCGGCTCCACAGGTGGGCGGGGGCTGACGTGGCTCTTTCGGATCTCTGAGTGCGACGTGGCAAGTGGGTTGAGCTGTTGGTGTAGGCGGCGGACGCAAGGGCGTGTGACGTGGCAAAAAAGGTGAGGGTTGAGATATGACGTGGTGGTGTTGAACGGATGCAAGGGAGCGGCGCATGATGGGGCGAGAGCCTTCAGGTGGGTGGGGGGTGACGTGGCATGGGGTGGGTGGGTGTGACGTGGGCGGATGTGAGGGTTGGGGCTGACGTGGCGGTTTGGACGGGTACAGGGGAGCGGCGCGGGACGAGGCGACGCGTGTCCGGTGGGTGGGGGGTGACGTGGCATGGGGAGGGTGGGTGTGACGTGTCACGTGGGGATGGTCGTTGGTGGATTTGGCGGATGCAGGAGGGTGTGCCGTGGCGGGATGTGAGGGGTGGGGCTGACGTGGCGGCTTGGAAGGTTACACGGGAGCGGCGCGGGACCAGGCGACACGTGTCAGGTGGGTGGGGGGGTGACGTGGCATGGGGTGGGTGGGTGTGACGTGGCACGTGGGCCTGGTTGTTGTTCCCTGACGTGGCGGATGCAGGAGGGTGTGACGTGGCGGGATGTGAGGCTTGGGGCTGACGTGGCGGCCTGGAAGGTTACACGGGAGTGGCGCGTGACGACGCTGGTCATGTCAGGTGGGTGGGGGGGTGACGTGGCATGGGGTGGGTGGGTGTGACGTGGCACGTGGGCTTGGTTGTTGTTCCCTGACGTGGCGGATGCAGGAGGGTGTGACGTGGCGGGATGTGAGGCTTGGGGCTGACGTGGCGGCCTGGAAGGTTACACGGGAGTGGCGCGTGACGACGCTGGTCGTGTCAGGTGGGTGGGGGGGTGACGTGGCATGGGGTGGGTGGGTGTGACGTGGCACGTGGGCCTGGTTGTTGTTCCCTGACGTGGCGGATGCAGGAGGGTGTGACGTGGCGGGATGTGAGGGGTGGGGGCTGACGTGGAAAGTTCCTACAGTCCATCCTGTGGTCACCCGGCCACAGTCATTACTCATAATTTCTCTCTCCCCGTGTCGTGTTGTAAACCCCACACCCCTGCGCAGAGCAAAGCCTACTTAGTGTGCTCTCAGCTCCTGTTTCTGAACCCCCCGGAGAAAATTCAGTATTACCCTGCACCGGAGGAAGTGTTCGAGGCCTTCGCTGTCCACTTGTCTGCCGAGGGGCTAGAGTCAATGAAGCTGCTGTGGTTGCACAACGACAAGTCAACCATGGGTGTTTTCAACCACCAGATGTCATCAACCAGGTCAACAATCAACACCACCCTCAGGCCAGCAACGTACGCCGGCATGGGTCTCTCCGATTACGCCAATGCGGTGGATTGCCTGCCCACTGAGCTACACCCAAAGAAGTGGTTCAACGACGAGCAACTCCTGGCGGAGTACAGAGATGGTATGTGCGTCTCAAACACACCATATCCCCCTGCCCATAAGCCAGTCAGCAGCTACAAATAACCGTGTCGCGGTACTCTGACCCTGTCTCTCACCCCCCCACCTGATCTATCTGCACCCCCTTTCCAACCCATACGCTCCCTCCAAAATGCAGAACAGTGGGCCCTCAACTGGCACTTTGACAAGGCCACCGGAACACCCTTCAGCAACCCCTTGTTTGCTTATGCGTTCAAGCTCTCCTTCAAGAGGAGCGGGGTCGTGTTCACCAAGTTCAAGAGCCGCATGGTGGCATGGGGCCTGTTTTCGGTAAGGAGGTAGATATGTGTCTCTACACCCATGCATCATCCCCTAAACCCCTTGCCTGTACTTCATCTAAATCCCTGGTCGCTTAGGCGTTTGCGGTTTTGTAGGATCTGTCGTCTTCACCTGGTTCAGCTGGAGCATATACCCGTAACCCCCCCTCATACACCATCCACCCAACCCTACACCACATTGCAGATCGAGTGGCCCCTTCTGCAGGACAAGCGCCGCAAGCGAATTCCGGCCCAGCCGGAACAAAACAGGCCGGACTACTTCGAATGGTGTGACAAGGTCAAACAGATGATACACTTTGCCGTCGTGGAGCGACGCATCCCACACGATCCGGCTCGGGGTGCGTTCGTCTTCCCGAACAAGTTCCTCATCGACGATGGCGACCTTGGAGATGTTGTTCTTGCCCACCGGGCGCTTGCAGGGCCCACCATTGAGTAGGCTATTTCACTAGGTGTTAAAACTGCTTGTTGTTACAATGCTGAATAATGGTTGCTGTAAACCGGAATATTGAATGTAATTCTGAGATCCTCAAGCCCATAAATAAAACAAAAAATAAAATCTATTTTAAATGATCTGGTCACGAAATTGCACCAAAACGGATTGCGCGCGAATGTCTTCCGGAAAAGCACGCGTGCCAATTTGGAACTTGACCCGAGCCAAGCCTTGTCGCGAGATGTGTGTCGGAGCTCCTATCAAACGACTCCAACCGTCGGTCGAAATTGGGTCCGGATTTTTTTACGCGAAGACAATCGCAATCAAAATTCGTCCAAACTTGGCATAGGGTTTTTGTGATGTGCCAGCCCCACCGTCCGTGCTAGCCACGCACTAGTCTGCGCCAGCCAGCGCGCTAGTTGTGTCAGCCTGCGCCAATCTGCACGATAGCAGCGTTAGCCCGTCAGCCAGCACGCAAGCCACGCCAGCTGCACCAATACGCGCGCCAGCCAGCCTGCCCTGCCACTGCAGTTGTGCCTGCTGCTGAACCTACATTGCGCCTGCCGACCATGACCTCCACCTTGCATGTAGCTCAGGCCCTCACACACCCCCTTTCGCGCAACATCGGCATTGGCTGTTTGCACCGGACGGTTTGCGTAACTGAAACGCCCCCAAAACAGTACCAGAGCATACCATACAAGCACAATCACGACTGCCAACTTGGTATTCTATGTTCTGACTGCTGTTAACTTTGTCAAGACACAGGAAGTGTGGCTGAATGTAGACATCCGAGAACAAGGGCTTCCCATTCGAACATTAAGCTGAAATCAGCTAGAAGAGCGAACCAAAATCACCAGCGACACCTAGGATTGTGTCAAGAATGGAATGAAGGTTTGACTAAGGTTGGTTGGGGTACATAAACCTAACCCTAACTGTTGTACCCCATATGACACACATCACTAAGACTATAACATCTGACACACCTCCATAGCCTAAGTGAGGGGTGTCAAGCAAACCAACAACGTATAGTCACAGACCAGTCACAAAGCAGCAAAGCTCAAGGTGGATCACAATGTCACCACACATTCTGAGCACAAACAAAAGAGCCACAAGGCCAGTTCAAGCTATATATAAAGCGTACAGACAAAGCAAGCAGAGAACTCACAACTACGCAAGGCGAGAACCTGAGTCAACAAGACCTAACTCCACACAACACCTGTGGTGGTGACAAGGCGGAAGGGCCTTGGTGAAGATGTCTGCAGTGTTGGCCTTGGACTCCACAAACTCGAAGCGAGCATGTCCACGCCTTTGCAATTCTAGCAAAAGAAAGTACCTGACGTTGTTGTGCTTCACTCTGCTCTCCAGTCGCGGCTCTCGACAGAGAAGAATCGACGCCTTGTTCGGTGCAGAGCTCGGCCGCTCACCAAGGTCGGTGAGCAAGAAGGTCAACCAACGCAGCTCCTGTGCAGCCATGGCTCCAGCGTAGATCTCAGCCTCAGCGGTAGAGGTCGAGACCGAGGAGGAACGCGTGGACCTCCACGAAACAGCTCCAGAGCCCAGGCTGAAGCAGTACCCCTCAGTAGACCTGTGAGTCTTGGCATCGTGCGTAAGAAGAGTCACAGTGTCTAGTAAGTACAACAGACTGTCTCCCTCCTAGAACCAGCCACACGCCTGATGTCGTCGCTAGGAACTTCGCCACCCTCACAGCAGGTGTTCAGTGAACTGGACGGTGTCTCCCTGGCGCAACAAAGCGAGCAAGGATGCTGAGAGGGAAGGCAAGGTCCGGGCGAGTACAAGTCATCAGGTACATGAGACAGCAACAAGCTCTGCATAGGGACCACTAGGCTCAAACGGCTCGTCAGGAAAGGGTCCAGTGAGTCTGTGGTCAACTGCAAGAGGTGTGCGCTGTACTGTGGAGTGTTGAAGCTCGAACCGCTGAAGGACCTGCTGCACCATGTGTGACTGTGAGAGTGTAATGGTGCGAGCGGCTCTGTCCCTGGTGATCTGCAGGCCAAGGTAGTGGCGCAGCTCATTTAGGTCAATGAACGTGTGTCTCTTCTGCAGTTCGCGCTTCACGTCAGCCAAAGCAACCCTGTCAGCAGTGGCGAAAACCAGGTCGTCGACGTAGACCAGTACAAAGAACGGTGTGGAGCCACGACGAACAAACAACGACGGATCGGCAGATGACGGCTGGAATCCAAGGTCAGACAGGGTAGAACGAAGGGTGTCGTGCCACTCACGAGGAGCCTGACAGAGACCGCAGACCGGTCGTCTCAGCCTCCACTGGGTCCTAGGAGGGAAAGTGCCAATGAAGGCAGAGGGGTAGGCAATGGAGAAGTCGAGAGAGTGTAGCTCGTAGTCTCTCTGTGCTGCTACGTGCAGTAACACCCGAAGAGTAGGCGCGAAGGCTGCTCCCTCGCGCTGACTGAAACCTCTAGCCACATAGCGCGCCTTGAAGACCGGAGGAGATCCCGGTGGCCGCTTCGGCAGGGCCCCAAACGTCGAAGTGGAGAGTCTTGAAGGGCTCGGTGGCCGGACGAAGGGAGGAGGAGTGAGGGGTGGCGCGCAGCCGTACCTCGACGCAAGGGGCACAAGGTGGTGCAAGCGAAGGCAGTAGCGACGGCTAGACTCATGGGAGGCCGAAGACGAGATGCTGACTAGACATAGTGCGCAGGTGAGGAATGGACGGGTGCCCAAGGCGGTGGTGCCACAGATCGGTGGGGTGGGCAAGCGACCGACAGGAGCAAGACGCAGCAACCGGACTAGATGCTGGAACCAAACCATACACAGCTACCTCAGGGGAGGCGGCAACCAAGTGAGACGCGGGAACTTGACGGGGGGTAGTGACAGGGGTCGGAGGCAGCTGTTGCTGCCCTCGAGGGCCAGTGTGAAGTGTGTAGAGACCAGAGCCCGGCTCAGCGGTAAAGGTGGCCAGAGGCGCGTACGTGTCCTCGTCGACACAAACCACAGTCTCACCAGAAGGCTCAATCCACACACCCACGTGACGACTCATGAGCAGCATCACACCCACCAAGTTCCTGGAGAACGAGGGGACGTGGAAGCCCGTCAGGAAGCCGAAGGGAACTGATGGTGTCAAACTATATGTGCTGCATATTGTCTAGGCTGTAGTGGGGTAGCCCATATGGGGTACAACCCAATTAGGGTTTACTACTTGTACTCCTGCATCCTGTTAGTTCATTCATTCCTGCTGCTAGTTTCTAACATGGTTTCAGAGCACTAAGGTCCGTAGGACCGTTTTTTTTTCGGGCCCACCTACCGCTGCGGTTACCGCGCTACCCCACGTACCTGCCTGCCTTGCCTTGCCTTGTGACGTGCTGCACATGCGCTGCCTCCTGCTGCCCTAGGCCAGCGCGCTGCCCCTAGAGGCCCGTAAGGCCCGCGCGCCGCCTCTACACGCCCGTCAGGCCCGCACACAGCCCCTGCAGACCGTTAAGCACACTGCTGCCGCGCGCTGCCCGCACCGAGTCGCGCGCAGCCCGCTGCAGCCGCGCGCAGCCCGCACCGAGCCGCGCGCAGCCCGCTGCAGCCGCGCGCAGCCCGCACCGACCCGCGCGCAGCCCGCTGCAGCCGCGCGCAGCCCGCACCGAGCCGCGCGCAGCTCGCAGCTGCCGCGCGCAGCCCGCGCCGAGCCCACGCAGCCCGCGTCGAGCCGCGCGCGGCCTGCTACGGCCTCGCGAGGCCCGCGCGCGGCCCGCAGCAGCCCGCGCCGAGCCGCGCGCGGCCTGCTACTGCCTCGCACGGCCCGCGCGCGGCCCGCAACAGCCCGCGCCGAGCCGCGCGCGGCCCGCTACTGCCTAGCGCGGCCGCGCGCGGCCTGCATCAGCTTAGCGCGCTGTCAGCGCAGCCCGCGCCGAGCCGCGCGCGGCCCTCTGCCTCGGCCCCGACCTGCCGCTGATGCGGCCCCGCCCTGCAGCTGCCACGGCCCCGACCTGCCGCTGATGCGGCCCCGCCCTGCAGCTGCCACGGCCCCGACCTGCCGCTGATGCGGCCCCGCCCTGCAGCTGCCACGGCCCCGACCTGCCGCTGAAGCGGCCCCGCCCTGCAGCTGCTTCGGCCCTGCTCTGCAGCCGGTGTTGCGGCCCCGACGTCGCCGCTGTCGAGCGCCGGCCCTGCTCGCCCGGTGAGCGCCTGCTCTCCCAGCCTTTGGTGAGCGACTGCCTGCCTGCCTGCGTGCCTGCCTGCCTGCCTGCGCGCCTGCCTGCCTGCCTGCCGGCCTGCCTGCCTGCCTACCGGCCTGCCTGTCTGTCTGCTTGCCTGCCTGCCGGCCTGCCTGTCTGTCTGCCTGCCTGCCTGCCTGCCTGCCTGCCTGCCTGCCGGCCTGCCTGCCTGCCTGCCTGCGCGCCTGCCTGCCTGCCTACCGGCCTGACTGCCTGCCTGCCGGCCTGCCTGTCTGTCTGCCTGTCTGCCTGCCTGCCTTCCTGCCTGCCTGCCTGCCTGCCTGCTTGCCTACCTGCCTGCCACGCCTGCCCTGCCCGCGCTGCTGCTGCTGCTACTGCTACTGGCAGGTGGCCAGATGCAGCTCCAGCGACGTTCACGCGAGCCTCTCACGCCCCAGCAGCTTAGTGAGTGGTATACTAGCTGGGGTTGTCGCGGTAGCCGTCGTAGCTGTCGCCCTGGGGCTGGTCAGTTGGGAGCGTCTAGCAGTGGCCAGCTGCAGCTGCAGGGGCGTCCACGCGAGCCACTTACGCCTCGGCAGCTCCAGGAGTGGTACGCTCAGTGTAGCAGGTCTACCCGTACAGTTCGCTGCCCGTACGTCATTCGCACAGGTGCTAGGACTGGTCAGCCTTGTGGGACACTTGGTCACACACAGTCCCGCTGCTTCGCCCGTCTGAGCGACGCCTGGCGCACAGTGTTTGGCGACGAGGCTGAGCTCCCCACCTGGCTGGAGCTGCATGGACAGAGGGTAGATATCTTTGCGCTTGACTATGATGCTATTCTCACTGCCATGTATGCCTTGTCTACTAGTGCTGACCGTGCCTGTTACC